GCTTATAACTCATTACGAGGCTTTGGTGCCTCTTGCGTGCATAATTCTGACATATGGAAGTTGATAGTTTGGTAGTCACTTTTGGGATATTTTGTTTAAGGTTTTAGAAGCCATGAAAGGTTCAACCTCGACAAGACCAGCTATTTTTGCAATGTCAAATCCCACAAAAAATGGTAACATGTCCCTGCATTGATATGTGGTATGCAATTGTGATTCTTTCAGAATTGATGCAGTAGTTACTTGTGCTTAACATTACAGCTGAATGCACGGCTCAAGAGGCATTTTCTATATTAGGCGACAATATCATCTTTGCGAGTGGAAGCCCATTCAAGAATGTGGATCTTGGTATGTATGAGGACCACACATCGATTGTTACACGCATATTTATATGAGAAGAAAATCCTAACTACTATAATTTCAGTTATGTTTTAAATTGACCGCCCTAGACATCTGAGGCTTTTGTTTGATATTTAGTACCTTGTCTTGTGGCAGGGAATGGTCAAGTAGGACATTGCAACCAGGGAAACAACATGTACCTATTTCCGGGGTTAGTTCCGCTTAATTATCTTCAGAAAGAATTGCAGACACTCTTGACTGGATGCTGTGAAGGTCATGAAAAAAATTAATTTCCTTCTCATTTATTATTATGTAGTATTGGACTTGGTATTCTTTTATCTGGTACTCCAATCGTCTCGGACGGGATGCTTCAGGCCGCAGCTGAGTGGTTAGCTATTTTCTTAGTCTACTGCATTTATCTTGCCTGATTTTAATTTCCATCTAAACTGAAGTTGGGGACATGATATATAACTACCGACCAAATTCAAATATTTTAAAGAATTTTTGCATAAAACCAATCACATAGTAGCATACCTCCAACCACGAGACAGCTACCACAAGTTCCATGTTTGATGGATGTGGGGATCATGACATTGTGTTCTGCTAAACAACTGCAGCTTAGCAGCATACATGAGCGACGAAGAAGTGCTGAAGGGGATCATATACCCTCCAATATCAAGGTAACACAATAGAAGAACATTCCCTGTGTAGTAAGGGATTGATAGAGATTTTATATTTGACGTGGAATTGAAACTGCAGGATAAGAGACATAACAAAAAGAATAGCGGCTGCGGTAATAAAGGAAGCAATTGAGGAGGATCTGGCCGGCGGATATAGGGAAATGGACGCTCGAGAGCTCCAGAAGCTTAATGAGGTAATTCAACTCATGACAGCCTTTAATAAACATAACTATAAATGATGGGGGAAAGAAAAAGTGTCCCGAAACGAACCAAAAACCAAGCCGAATTGTTGGTTACACTGACGTGGCCTTGTGTCTTTTGCGCAGGAGGAGCTGATGCAGTACGTGGAAAACAACATGTGGAGTCCAGAGTACCCGACTTTGGTCTACAAAGATGATTAAGTTTCGTCTACAAAGTCTGTTTTCCCT